GGCTATCGCGTCGCGATTGTTGATTCAGAGCTCTGCCTGCCCCTATGACATGTGAGCGGGTGTTTACAAACGGCTCCTCTTGACTGCACGAGGGTCAAATGATCCAAAATGAACCGCTAACAGCGCGACAGGAATCGGTAGCAACGGTAGTACTCAGCCGGGGAACAACGCGCGAAGTGGAGTGTTGTCCGTCGGCACTCCCGTCGAAAAAGGCAAAATAAAGACACAAATACCATATATATAGAAGAAATATCGCGCACTGAAGAAAATAGAAACACTTAGAATGAATACAAAATACACTGGAATAAATAAAAATAGGGAATATAATCGAAAAACAGGGGATTAATAGAAGACGAGCGAAGGGGAAATGCGATCTCAAGGCAGAGCGGCCAGGCGACGGACAGTCTCTCCCACAATTCCCTGCGCGCGGGCCGGGGCGCTTGGGTGATTTCGCAAAAGGTCTATTGAGCGCAGAGGCTGTAGCACGTAGTAGGAACACGAACGTTATTAGTCAGCTCGAGCACGCAAGACGTACCCTTACGCGAAATATAGAGCAAACAAGAGTGTAAAAAACGCTCTACTTCGCGCCCTGAGTACTGAGACGTGAGAACTGAAGTGTGCACCCCAGTGAGTATTAGAAAACTAAAACTGTGCTTAAAAAAAAAAAAAAAAAACACAGGAAGTCACGGAAGTTTTTACGCCACTACCGTGCCGGTACTATTTTTTTTTTCGGACCGGAGGTTGTTTTGAGATTAGAAGAGAAAGATAAAAATATCTATAAAATTTCAATATACAAAGCAAAATTTTATTCTTTTTTATAAATTCTGATCCTCTTGGTACATATCTTTTTGCCTGTCGCAAGCGCGATCATTCGAATACATGTGCGCCGGAATTTCAATCGCGTGTCGCAAATCTGCTGGTCAAGTTTTTTTTTTTTTTTTTTTATGGTGATGCGGGTGGTTTTGGCTGAAACGTTTTCGTTGATCCTTCGAAGCAAATCTACAGAAATAGGAACTGCCCTCCGAGTTGCGTATTTTATATTTATGTATCGTGCCACATTCAACCCTACCACCTCTGTCCCGTTGCGCACACGCCTCTTCCAATCGCGAAACTCTGTTCGTACAAAAACATTCGTGAACTTTTTTGTTTGCCTGTTGTTTTTGAGAAGTCGTTTTCTACTGAACCCACCCATATTGGAACATTCTTTGAAGCAGCAGCCAGTGATTTGAGTCTGAGCGCTCAATCTACGGCCATATGTTTTTCGCTGGAGGAACCACGCACACCGCGTCACTTAAGGGAAATGGCACTCACGCAACAAGGGAAAGCACACACGAAACAAGATATCACTTATGTGCGTCGGTTTACCCTTTTGAACGGCCAACAACGAAAAGCTGATCTCCAGATTTTGACTTCCGGGATCGGTGGTTTGAGTGCTTGCGCGCGACGAATTGGAACGAATGCGTCGAAAGCCGGACACTCCAAGCCATTTTCTTGTGCGTATTTTTTTTGTATTGCATTTTTTATTCGATTTCTATGGGCTCTGGGGATATTGGAATGCGAAGAAAAAAGCTCTTGGAAAAATTCATAAGGTACTTTTCTAGGAACCCCTAGAAGATTGTCTCTGAGATAATATTTGCATAGATGCCTAAAATCTTTGAACATCAATTCCAAAAAGGGTCCAGATTTAGAAACGCCTGAGAATATCTCCGTTGCGACAATGTACTCAAGTTAGAATGATTTCAAGAGAAACGATTTATCACCATTTGGATAATTTAATACCCAAATATCTGCCATTTGGGCCAGATATTTGGGTATTATTTTTGTTTTCTAGATGGACACGCGCTCCTTCTCTATTGGAGTATAGTAAAAAGAAAGCAACATTACGCATAGGATACATTATAATTGTGGTTGTAGCACGATTCCCCCGGTGGCAGTTCCCCCGTCCCAAATGCCCCGTGCCATTTCCCCCGAGTGTCAAAATACCCGTTGTCAAATTCCCCGTCTTGCCTCTCCCGAGCACCAGCACCCCCGTATCCAATTCCCCCATGTTGCAACTTTTGTGTGCCTCTCTATCCAGTGGCAATCAGTTGATCGAACGACGTTTCATTGACATATCGTTTCATGAAAAGTTTGTTACACCAACTGCTCGGATTAGCTTCCTTTTGTAATAAGTCGCCTGTGTCTGTCGCCGCGAGGCGGTGTGGACGGGTGGTCCGCCTGGATTAACATGGGTCCCTGTGATGCACGTGCGACGAAGCTAGTTTTTTCACGAAACATGGTGCCGATGAAACGAGTGTCGACGAATTGATACGGACGCCCGTTGATCACCTCCGATGTTTTTTGAAACCAACGCACACGGTTATTCCGTGATCCTGTGTCAGTTCAGTGATTGACAATATTGCAAATTATGGGAGATTTATTAACATGTTAATGTATACAGTTTTGTCGAAGCAATGTCCACTACTTAGATACCGCAATATCGCTGCACCAGCCTCAGGAACTCTTGAATGTTGAGCTCTCCATTGGACAGACGCTGCTCGAGCTTCCTGATGGCTTCGTCCTTCATCTCCTACTTCTTTTGTCGCTTTCGGGCTTGGCCGCCGTTGGATACCTGGAGGAGGGTGACTCTGCTAGTGGCCTCGTCCCGCTTGATGTGCTCCACGAAAGTGTAGACATTGGGGTGCGCTTTCCCGATGGCGTTGTTAATTTTTCTGTAAATAAAAAGCACAAGGATTACAACTCCTGGTAAATAAGCATTCTGATTTTTTATAGCAAATTTATACCATACTGAAAAATGAACTGACCGGTGCCAGGCCTCCTTTAGGTTGTTTGTCCGGGCTCCGCTGTTTTGGTGGTGGTTCCACTGCTGGGTGTCGTAGTTTCCTAAGAGCCAAATATCCTCGAAGTACAGGATAACTTGTGGGACTCCAAGGGCTGGTGGTGCAGTTGCCTTCAAACCCCGCCAAGCAATACGTACGAACGCTGGCGGAACAAAGGCCAAACTGATTGTCTGGCGTACAAACATCGTTACCGAAGAATCAGCTGGTAAGCCTTGGCAAGTCGAAGTTCTTGAACCTTCCTCCAGATTACTTGAGCGAAGTGAAAATGGCAACCCTGGTGCCGGATTCCAGGAAAAACGAAAAGAAAAGCCTGGATAAGGGCCAGTTCAAAGTCCGTACGGACAACGCTGAGTGACAGAGGTGCACGAAGAGAGTCCAACGCCGTCTTGAAGTTCGTGAAGGCCGACACATATACTTCTCGAGACTTCCGAGGTAGAAGAAAGTAGGCGATATTGAAGCTCAAACCCTCTTTGACGGCGCTTATTGTGACCAGTTGATAAAACAATGACGGGCAGGAAAAAAACGTGCCATCGATGAACACTTCAACCATTTCCGAAAAATAAAAAAGCAGCTCCTGCGTGCAAAAGCAAAGAACACGGCCTGCACTTATGCTGACGTCGAACAGCAGGAAGTCTCGCTTGTCGAGTGTCTCCGTATGTAGTCTTCCAAGGTTAATCTCGGCCATGTCCCTTGGTAGGCTCGGTTGCTGCTTTCTCTTCTCCCAGTACATGGTGCTCCTCACGCTCTCAAAAGTCGGCAGCTCAGCCATCACCGTGTCGTCAACCTAGAACAAATTGGCCCCGTCACAAACAAGGTTCAATCGCAGCCACCATGAACACGCATACGCGTGTAATAAAACATAGTATGTAAAGACGAGAGAATGTTTTTGCTTACTTGACCCCAGACTTGAACCGTACGCATTACAAGTAATCAAATTACTTGTAATCGATTACTTTTTGGAGTAATTTTGTAATTAGTTGATTACTTTTATTAGGCAGTAATCACAAGAGTAACCTGATTACTTTTTGAAGTAATAAAATTACTTGCAACCGTTACAATTTGTCCACGAGACCCCCCCCTCCCGGCACACGCCTTTTTTTATGAAATAACAAAAATAAAATTTGCTTTTTTTTTTCGAACGGAAAAAAGGAAGATTTTTGCGGAGCTGTAGGAAACGAGATCAATCTCTTCTATGTACAGTTTCTGTCGAATGTCCGTTTTTTTTTTTTTCGAGCTGGGACTGGGAATGGGAAGCCCCAGGGAAGCCACAGTGCGTGACGAAGGCCATTCAGGGCAAAGTTTGAGGAAGCAGAATATAGCTTTTTGAGTCCTTTGTTCAAACCTGCCCCCTCACGCACACACACACAGTAATAAAAAAATATAAAAAAAATCCTGCTTAGGGTACCTACTCGCAGCCCGTAGGGGAACCAGAACCGAAGAATGCCTAAAGAGGATGGAAAATATAACAAAGGCAGTTGAAATATTTCCCCATTTCCCCTACGTGGTGTTTGTGACAAGCAATGTTTCGAGTTGAGAAGTGGTCGGGGCAATCTCTTCCGCTAATGGATATTACACATCATCCGTTTCAAATCCTGGACCTGCTGCTCTTTTTTATAACATGCGAGCTCATCCACATGTGAATAATAAAATGAGCAACGCAAACTTTGAGCGATAACCCTTGCTCAAGCTTAACAAGATCTAGAACCCCCTCCGCCCCCCCCCCCCAACACACACACATGTACAGACTGGCGAACGACCAAATCATTAAACATCTTCAAACGAATTCTATGCTTGTGTCCCCATTGTGAAGGTGCAACTACCACGAAGAGGGAGCCAGTTTTTCTTCTTCAATACTTGTGCAAATGTGAAATATAGGTTGGAAGGAGCTCATTGTTATGAGCGCTAAAGATGTGTCTTCCCACAATAAAGTAATCCAAAAAGTAACGATTACTTTTCTAATATCCAATTACTTTTGCCGTCGAGTGATCAAGTAATCTAATCGAATACTTTTTAGCCAAGAGTAATAGTAATTGTAATCAATTACTTTTTTTTAGTAACGTGTGCAAGACTGCTTGACCCACAATGCTCAAGATCTCTCTGCTGTACACTTGCGGTGCTGGCAAATGCGGCTCCAACCTAACCCTTTGCTTCAGTGCATTCTTCAGTCGCGCTTCCCGAAGTTGGCTGCTATCAGGTGGATGGTTGTGCTCTGAAACACATAGACGTGATGATAATGAAAGGCCGCAGCAGATTTTAGCCTCATCATTCAGTGCCCTTCAAGTTGAACAGCAATACGAGAGTTTGCGAAAGTAAAAAAGGAAAGTCATTAGCTCACCTTGTGTTGTCTTGACGACTTTTCCGTGCTTCGTGAGAACTGCTGCTTTGCAGTTATTTGTCCAGTATTTAGCACATCTCCAGGCAGTTTTCTCATCTTGGTTCTTCCGCTGAAAGCAATACTTAAATCCGACTGGTACTAAAACCTCCTTCTCTTTTTGCGTTTTTAAAAATTCGACCCGCATCTCCTGCACCTCAACCTCGTCTGGGAAGCATCCAATGTTGAAAGTTCCTTAAATAGAACTCACCTGGTCGCGTTCGAGGTTTCTTTGTTCTTGTTGACCCTCGGTATGCACTTTTTCTTTCGTCCCGTAACGAGAATCGGGGGCAGAGGACGGGGGGAACTGATAAGGGGATGGGGGCACGGGGTTTTTGGAACCCGGGGGAAATGAGGTCGGGGGAGATAACGCGGGGAATTTGCAGCGGGGATATCGACACGGGGGAATCGCAATCGGGTTATTTCTGTTTTATTGTTCTGAAATGCCTTGGAAGCAGCGGCCTTGTGACGTCATTATCGGAAGTTTTTTGCGGTGTTTAGTTTTCTTGCACTCTTTGCCTCACTATGGTCACTGAAAGCTTTGTAACCCCAGGGCATAGCTTATTAAGTTGATGCTTCTCGTGTCGCAATTGGCTCCTCATCGATCTTATTGAAGGACTACGGAGTGATAGAGTGATAAACGGTTAGGAGCGAAAGTGTGCAAGCGAGTTGGTTAGGTTTTAGTGTCCTGTATGCTCCGTTTGAACTTAAATGTCCACCGAAACGAAACAAAAAACTATTTTTTTAAGAGCATGGATGATACACACGCGTCAAAAAGTAAGTTTTACGCAAAAAGAAAGGTCAGAATAACGTTAACTGCGCGCGATTTATTTTCAATTCTTCACGCAAAGTTCATAACGCCACGGAATGGTCATGCACTCTTTCCACCTCATTGAGATGGTCATACACTCTCTCCACCTCGACTTGATGGCCAAGCCGATCCACCTCTCCTCTACGCGCTCAAAATGCCGAGAGAGAAAACAAGTGGAAAGGAGGTTACTACGGACTAAATCACGTCTCGCGCCTTTTAATATTGCTCTAAATTTTCGTTTCAGGGTATATTGATTTTTTGACACGCGTGTCCCAACCAGGCTGTTTAAAAAAAAATTTCTGTGTTTTGTTTTTTAGTTGTAGAGGCGGCCGACGTTTCGAGATAATGGGACGAATCACACACCGTCAAGAGAGTGTCTCAGTAGGCCGTCCCTGTACATGATTTGCCTGGCTATGGTACAACAGGTACAGGAACGAAACAAACACCAAGATGGTGCGTTTTGACGCGGTCTGTGCCGTCCCATGACGTCGGAGCGTCGGCTTCGTCTAAGCTTAAAGGTGGACTAAAGTATTTTTTGAGATCCTCGTTTTATGGTCTTAACTCACTCTACGAGAGAACCCTATAAAGCCCTAAATTACAATTACACCCGGCCAATTTCCGTATTAAGGAAGTAATAGAATATTCCGACACTTACCCTTAGCGCAGAACGACAGATGGCGCTGTCGGACCAAGCTGAAAATGGTCGAACGACGGACGGCGCTTGTCAGCCACTTGCGACCGGTGGTTTCCCGCCCCTCCACGCGGGAACCCATCACTCGGGAGGGGCTGACGAGCGGCGTCCGTCGTTCGACTATTTTCAGCGAGGTCCGGCAGCACCATCTCTCGTTCTGCGCTAAGGGTAAGTGTCGGGATATTTTATTACTTCTTTAATACGGGAATGGGCCGCGCATGAATGTTATTTAGGCCTTGTTCGGCTGCTTAGAGCTCGCAGATTGAGTTATGACAATTAAAATGAGGCGGATCTCAAAAGGCACATGAGTTCTAAGGTGAAACGAAGTATTGTCGTCTGTTTCGTTTGTCATTTTCTCGTGGTTTAGATTATGATAAATTGAAGTTCGCTCCTCCCCAAGTATTGCTTGTCTTAAACGGAGAATTATCATACATGGCTTATATCTCTTATAACTCGTTGAAAAAAAATTAAAATAGGCATTCTGCTTTATTACGCAGAATTTGGGCTGTGCAGTCTTGATAACTAAAGACGTGTATAGAACTGAGCGGCAAAACGCTCTTCAAACATAAAATGAAACGGTCAGTCCCTGGCAACGTAAAAAGCGTAGAGAGTAGTTTGTCTTAGCTGCTATCCTCGTGAACGTAATAGGCAACTCTTATGTTTTAATACCTTCTTCGAAGCCTAAAATCGTGCAAACAAGAACTGACGTTGTGGATGGATGTGGAATTCATATAAGTTAAAAACACTTGACAATAATTTGTCAGTGACATAAATGCTCGGGGGATCAAAATGTCATGTCGTATCTTTTTCCAAAGCATGAAATTTTTGATACATCGGCTCATAAAAAATATGGCCTTTTTCTGTTATGTTTTGTACAAGGTAGTGTCAGGTTGACGAAGATTTCCTTTATATTCACACCGCTAGTGTTACACTTACCCAAAGCCTGAACTTCTTGTAATGCGCAGTTTATACACGCGGGCCAAAAAAACAACACGTTTCCTTTTATTTTTCTGTAAGGTAAACGCAATGCTTTACTTTTGGGGAATGTTCCTGTTCATCCTGGGTCCCTAAACTCATCCAAAAAAAAGTTGGAGCAGAAAGTTCGCGGAGCACGCTGATTGGACGTCAGCGGAAAAAGCGAAAAAGTCGTCGTCGTGATAAACCAATCGGTGCGCTTCGTTGACTTGGGCCCCAACTTTGTATTTGACGAGTTTAGATACCCAGGTTCTTCTTTGCAGGTTGGGGTTTGGTGCTACACAAAGGCCCTGTTACGGCACAAAGAGCTGCGTCTCGGCGTTCCATGTTTCGCGAACACTAAAGCCAGTATCATTTCCTATGCGGTAATATTTGTTAAAGTAATGCTGAACCGAAATCTCGATTCCGCAAGACACGCGGCAAGAGCGTGAAACGGGATGCTACAAACACCAAAACAAAACTCATATAGCGATATCTCGCCCCGCAGGGGGCACCTGTGAAAGCAGGTGCTTGGAGAATGGCGTCTCCATGGACCCCGAGCCCCGCAGGGGGCGCCTGCACCTTAGGTGCTAGGTGCTTGGTGAGTAGAGTCACCACGGACCCCAGCCACGTGGGCCACCATACCCGCACGCAGGGGGCACCTGCCTTGGTAGGTGCTTGGTGAGTGGCGCCACCGCGAACCCCGAGCTATGTGGGTTTACCCACCCACGCCTAGCTGTGCGTCGCTTAACCCGTGTCCGGGGAAAAGGGGACCCTGGTAGTTGAGCTGAGCCCGGGGTATGTTTGGACCCTTCGGGGCCCCCCGGGCGAGGCAATACACCGCTTCGACCTCTGCTTCTCGTAGACGGGTGTCCTGGCTTGGCCCGACCAGGATGATTCAGTCAGTCGCCTCTTCTACCCTCTTCTTCCTTCTTTCCCTTTTCCTCCCACCTCTTTTTCTTTTCTTCTACACTCTCTTCCTTCCTTTTTCACCTTTTTAGGCGGCAAGGGCCAATCTTGAGTGGAAACAGGTCCTGTCCCTGCAACCACACTAGGGTATAGAGCCCGGGCAGCAGTGGTAGAGTAATTGTGTCAGCCAAGCCTTTCTTGTTATGGCACATTACCTACCCCCTTGTTGGGCTCCGTGGTGGGCGGTGCACCCGGGCACTGAAGTTTCTTCCCCATCTTTATGGGTCTGCAAACTAAAAAACCTTCTGATCGGGCCCCGAAAAGGGTCCGCACCGAAGTACCGCTCCAGTCTGAAAAGTCATTTGTTTCTGAAAAATTTCCAAGGTTTCTTGTTCTTCATTCTGAAAATGAAAAGCCACTGGGCAAACTGTCCCCCTTCCTTGTAGCTAAGGCTCTAGAGGGAGTTGTCGGCAAAAACTTCAATGCAAAGAAAATGGCGTCTGGAGACCTCCTTGTAGAAATCAGTACAAAGCAGCAGAGTGATGCCCTCTTAGGTCTCAACTCTGTGTCAGACTATAAAGTCAGTGTCGCCCCTCACCGGAAACTGAACACCGTCCAAGGAGTAATCTCCGAAGATGACCTACTAGACACATCTGACACAGGGAGTTGTCGCTGCACGACGAATCACAATTCGTCGTGATGGAACAGAACACAAGACAAAGCACATAGTCCTAACATTTGAGTCCGCCACACTTCCAGAGGCCGTGAAAGCTGGCTATCTCCACTGCAAGGTTCGGCCCTATGTGCCTAATCGTCGAAGGTGTTTCAAATGCCAGAGGTTTGGCCATGGTTCCCAGCAATGCCGTGGAAAATCCACTTGTGCGAAATGTGCCAAAATGACCACCTCACAGACACTTGCACCAACGACGCACACTGTGTGAACTGCGGTGATCCCCACCCTGCATATTCTCGATCCTGCAGAACGTGGAAGGAGGAGAAGGAGATACTTACACTCAAAGTCAAGGAAAACCTCTCCTACCCAGAGGCACGCCGTCGCTTTGGATTCTTGCGTAAAGGCAGTTTTGCGCAGGTGGTGCAGCGGGGACCTGCACCACTGATGGTAGCAGCGGCCACCCAGACATCCTTTCTGGACTATGGGAGGCCAGTGCAGTCCCCCAGGCCCCAGCTGAAGATTCAGCTTCCCGGGGCGGGCAATTTCAGCTGGGCGGTCCACCGACCCTCCCAGCCAGAGTGCGGACCTTCGCACTCCAACGGGACAACAGCCTTCATTCTCTCAGGCTGTTTCCCATACCAAGGATGGGCCGGTGGCTACCGCAACCGTCCCTCCTCCGCAGTCTCCTTTCAGGGAGAAGGGTCGACGCTCTCGCCCACGCTCCCTGGAGAGAGCATCATCGAAGGAGCGGCATGGCTCTCGTGCCGCTCCTGCAGCGCCTAAGGGGCAGGAACGGATGGACCTGGGTGACGCCTCACCCAGCACCTCCTCTGCCCCTTTGGCTGGTCGTGGGCGGGGCATGGCGCCCCGTTCCCCAAACGCAAACAAACCTAGAGGAAAAGCCTCGCCTCAGGAAACTGAGGCCATGGATGAGTGTAGGGAAGTCTCCACTCATGCGCCTGACCAGGACGACATGGAGTGGCAGACTTCTAAGGGTAAACACAAAAGTAAAAAAAACCTGTGATCCCTCCAACGTGACATTGTAAATTAATCTTTGCCACATGCGGCAGCTTTAGGGCTTTTATTTATTTTCCCAGTGTTTCTTCTTTATTCGTATTTTAACTCCTTTTTAAAACGATGACCAATTTTTATTTTATGCAGTGGAACTGCCGGGGCCTAATCAGAAATATAGATGATGTAAATTATTTTATGGACGAGCTGAGACCCATTGCACTCAGCCTGCAAGAAACACATTTAAATAACACTCATACACAG